GCGTCGGGTGAGATGGGTTGCGCGCAGGCCCGGTTCCGGCTCGGTCGCTGCACGGAGCGGGCGGGCGGCGCCCTCATGCTGTGGGGGGCTGGCAGCCCTGGGGCCGGGCGGGTCTGTGCAGCCGGAGTCGCCCCTTAGCCGGCAGGCGGGCATAGGGTGGCCCCTCCCGGCTCATGCCCCGAGGGGGAAGCCCGGAGTGTAGGGCAACAGGGCTGGGAGGGAGCTCAGACGCCGGCTGCCGCACCCCTGCCTGAGGCAACACCTGTCCCAGCCCTGTTGATCCGTCAGCTAAACCCTGCACGAGCCTGAGCCTGCCCTCAGCCCTGGCACCAGCGGACTAAGGGTTGTGGAAAGGGGCGCAGGCCGTGAAGTGCGGCCTCGCCTCTGAAACATCAGGTCTGTTCTCCAGGTGAAAAGCGGCTAGGGGCCATAGGTGCAGGCCAGGGGCCTAGGGCTGCCTTGTTTAGCTTAAGATTGAAGCAAAAACAAAGAGCTTCAGGAAAAGGAGTTCAAAACAGTCTGTGGGGCTGGGAAACGGGAGCTTTGTTACTAGGAGCAGCTGACAGGCAGCAGCATAGCAGAAGACAGGACAGCTCCGTGGGTGGGAGGGACGGCAAGGCCATTAAAAAGGAGAGAAGGCCCTTAATGCCTGTGGGGGGGGGGGAATGACAGTGAGCCATGAAGTCAATTGACTCCCCACGCACCGCCTGACTAGAAGTGCTGCTGTCACTGCCAGGCAGCTGGCTTTAAACTTTGGGTAGAGCAGGAATCAAAGGCAGGTGGGTGCAAGTGTTCTGCTGTGGGAGATGCACAGAGATATCTAGATATATAGCACAAGCTTTCGGGAGCTGAAACTCACTTCATGAGACCCTTTGAGCAAGTATATATCTTTGTTTGCTACACACACACAGACACCCCCCCCCTCTCTCCTTGTTTACTGTACATCTATTTGTTAGTCCAGGGGTTGTCAACCATGGATACACATACCCCTGGGGATACTTGGGAAGGCCCTAGGCCAGGGGTTTTCAACCTTTTTGCATGAGTGTACCCCCAGCGGCTAGATATGGATCATTGTACTCCCAGCAGCTGAATGCAGCACAGGGGGAGGGGATGGCGCACAGCTGGACACGGAGTGGGGGTGGCACGTGGCTGCAGCTGCCGCATGCAAGCTTCCCCCACCCACCACATCCAACTAGGTGGGTGTTGCCTGTGCGCTAGCACGGGATGGTGCATGGAAGTGCTCCGTCCCCATCTGCCAACAAATACCCCTGGTTGACAGCCCCTGCCATATAGGGTATGCGCTGGTGGGCAGGACCACCCCATGCCACCACCTCCCAGGAGCAGGGCTGGGGTGGGGAAGAGGGCAGCAGTGCCCCTCTGTGGGCCACACAGGCACTGCCTGGCCGGCCAGACACAGGGGTGGGGGGGAGCTTGCATGCGGCAGCCGCTGCTGCAACCCACCACTCGCGACACCATGTGCAAGGTCGTCCACTCTTCATCTGCGGAC